CCAGATCCTCTAGATGACTGCTGAACATTTCACATGCACAGACTTGATGCAGTGCTACGTAGGTCTAACTATTCCCACAGAAAGCAAAACGTGACGGCATGTCTTCATAACAGTCTCTAACATGTTTGTCACTGAGCATGTGTCAGACTTTATACGCCCTCATGTATATACTTCCAGCAACCCTATGTGTAGGTAGTAACTAAAGCAAAGCAAAATTAAGCTTTGTTCCAAAGTCCCCAAGGTAGTGATTCCAAAGCCTCTGTACCACCCTAGTTAAAGATGGGCAAAACAGTGGAGACCTTATAAACTGTTTGAAAGTGTGGGGAACTCTCCTTTTCTGGGAACTGCTGTGAGAAGGATAGAAATGCTCTCTTTCTTTTAGTTCTCTAAGACAATAGCGGTACTATCGGTATAACATTGGACATTGGCCATAGCACTGCACCGTCTTAGGAACTAAATATTTGTACTTCGAGGACGGGTTCTGTGAGATGACAAATGAAGCAAAAAAAAAAAATCTTTTACACATAATAGCTATCTTTTCTCCTAGGAAAATGTTTCCCTGATACCTTATTATTCCAAGACAGTATATGAGATAATACTGACTGGCTTTCATGTTGAAATGTATGAAGTATTTGGTGTAATTGATGTTTGAGTTGTGTAAGAGATGTTTGAATTATTTAAATATTTAGAATGATAATTTCTTATTTGAAAAAAATTAAAAACCAAAACTGGTTTATAAACTCACCCAGAGACAAATAATAGGCAATGCCTGTTTTTCTATCTTTTCTACATGTCTTGAAAACAGTTTATAAAGAAAATATTTGATCAACAACAAAGCACATCATCATGAAAGTTCAAAACACTGGGGACAAAGAGAAGATCACCAAAACTTCCTCTAGAGAGGAGAGCACAGGTTACATCCAAAAGATAAGGAATTAGAGTGGATCTGGACTTCTCAAAGGCAACCTAGGAAGCTAGAAGAAAATGGAGCAATGCCTTTAAAATTCCAAGGAAAATTTCAGCCTGGAATTCTAGATTCAAACTGCCCATCAGGTGTGAGAGCAAAATAAAGATATTTTTAAACTTGCAAGAGCTCGAAAAATTGACCTTTCATGTACCTTTTTTAGAAAACAATGCTCTTTCTAATTAAGGAAGTACACCAAGAAAAAGAAGGATATAGAGTCCAGGAAACAGGTATACCATATAAGGGAATGGGGGAGAGAAATCCCTAGAATGATTTTTTATTCATCTTCGGTGCAGGTGAAAGCAGATCCCAGATTACAGATGTAAAGCAGAGCTATGGAACAATCATGCAGTCAGAGTAATTCTCTAGAAGAGAAATCTCTGAGAAGATAGAACTAATAGAATTCCAGATGTGTTTGGCTCTGTTGAAAGGAGACTTACAACACAGTGTGGAGAAGAGTTTGGAGAAAAGTGATGTTTAAGTATATAGAAAACTGAGAAGCTGAAAAACATGGCTCTAGGAAAACAGGGTGTGCAAAAAAAAAAAAAAGAAAAATAATCTTAGTATACCTAATGACTCAGCTGTAAATAGTCATAATTGTGTTAACACTGATTATTGGTCACACAAAAATGATGTAACATTACTGGGAGGATGGAATAAAAGGAAATACACATGTATGTACTGGTGGGAGTGGGACAAGAAAAAGGTAAACCCTCATGTTTTAGGTGGGAACTCAATAGATAATGCCTAAAACTGAAGAAAACAAACAAGTCATAGAGGTATAACCATGTTACTTAGAGATAGGGAGGTAATTACTAAAAGAAACAACTAAAATAATTGAAAATGGTTGACTCTCGAGACAAAGAGTGGAAGGGGGGTAGTCAGGGGACTGCTGTGTTTTTGTCATAAGCCTTATAGGACTGTCAACAGTTTATATTCTGTGCATGTTTGGCTTTGATAAAAATAAAAATTAAATGTTAAAAAGGGAAAAGTGAGGAGGAAATTCAAATAAGAAAGAAAAAAGACAAATAAGGATAAGTTCTACTTCCCATTATAAAGAAACTCAAAAGAGAATACTCAAAAATTAATGCAAAACAAGGAATTAAGATCAATCTCAAGTATCATTTCCTAAAACATTTAAAGAGAAAGTTACGAAATTCTATATTCCTCCTTTTTTTTCCCCACCCACTCTCACATTCTAGTCAAATGTTGGTGTTTATCTTCTATAAGCTATGTAGGATATAGGGGACCTCAACTCATGATTGACTTCTACTTGAGTAGAATGACTGGAAAATCTGGAGGCCAACTTTGAGCTGTGTCATCAAACCCAGTCACTTGATTTTCCAGCTGTGTATCTTGCTTCTTTTTGCTTCTTGTCTAATTCTTAGAACATTTTATGTCAGGCCATCTTGCCATTTTTCCCCCTTCCACTGGTTTCCTGATCCAAACTCATTAGTCTGTCCACCTGGCCTTGACTCATTCCTTACTCTAACCTTGCTGTCTGCGTTTGCTTTGACTGCCCTATCCATTTCCTCTGCTTAATTCTTATTTTCTGGCTCTTACCTCCTCCTCAAAACTGGCTAAATCCATTTTGAAAAACCAAGGCAAATGGAACTGCCTGGGAAGAATTTGGAAAATCTGCAGCTCTGTTCCTTCTTCATTCTTGAGAGCCAGGACAGCAGCTGAAGGCATATGTGGGGAGAAGTGTGCGCGCGCGCGTGTTTGGTGTGTGTGTGTGTGTGTGTGTGTGTGTGTGTGTGTTTTGGGAGAAGAGGGTACAGCCATCTTGGACCCTGTCATTTTGCCTGGGAATACTAACATTTATAATTTTGCCATCCTGGTGTATTCTTTATTTGTTATTCCATTTTTCCTAAAAATTCCAAAATTTTTAACCCAGAGGCATCTTTCCAGCTTCCTTGCATGAGTCGTATTTTGACCTCTTAAGAGGCTGTGGCAAGACTGCAGTTCACGGTGATTTTACATGAAGTGACATCTGATTTGCTTTTAGACTGCATTCCACACCAGTCTGCCCAGCCCTGCAGTTTATGGGCTAACTCCTGTTGTCTTTCAACATATGGGGCACTATTAGATAGTGTGCGTTTGGGTCTTGTCCGGGAGGCTGATTAAGCCACAGTCAGGAATAGCCATCCTGCGTGTGAAATGAAACAGCTCTGGAGCTGCTGGAGTTGCTCAGTGCTTTTCTGTTGGGGGATAGGGTGTTTGCTAACAAAGCAAACACTTTTTTTTTTTTCTAACATGGGCTAGGTCTATGGTGGTAACATTTGACAAGTTTAGTAACAGGGAACATAGATGACTGTGAACAGATGGGCAACTATTAAAAGATTTGAGGGGCTTTTATCATTTCTCAAATGGCCTTCACCCACCTACAGGATACCCGGCTCCCTTGCAAGCTTACGTAATGGATTCAATTAATTTTCTTCTTCCTTTTCTTTTTTTTTTTTTCGATTGCAATGGAAGCAGAAGCTCTGACGTTAAGAGGAAAAGAATAGATGAGAAACTTCTAATTTTGAATCCTCTTGGGATTAGATGCTGATTTCAGCCATGCAGAGAACACTGCCCCATATTTTGAAAGAGTAGCTGCTGGCTGTTTTAGAGGAGATGACTTTCCAAAATAGCCAGTGAACTCCCCCATCCATATCTGATGACCATCTGACATTTGGATGCAGAATTACAGAACTATCCACGTGTTTTGATAAGTATAACCTTGCTTTTAAAAAAGGCAGTGGCAAGTCATCATTACATTTAAGCTCAAAACTAATGGACTACAAAACACAAAAGAGAAATGCATTGCCTAGTTCCCAGAAGAAATAGAAAATATTTACACATCTTAGAGCAATAAAATTTACCCACGCTCTGGGGCAGTGCTCTCTCTGATGCAGGAGTCTGCCAGTTCTCTGTGGCTCAGAACGATGCTTGGAAAGTTCACAAGGGTGAGAAATAGACACTGAGATGAGGCCTGTTTTACTCTCTCTGGGGCAGCAGCCTGATTTTGCCAAGAGCAGTCGCAGTTGGTATGGTCAGAGTTATGGTACCTATCAGCTGGATCTCATGAACCTGGACAAATGAGACTGGGTTCTCTTAATAACATTACGTTCCAGGGGCAGTAATTTTAAGGTACTTACCTTAGATACATTCGGTGTAGCTATCTAAGATCTGTTTGGAAGCAGGAAGGATGGATAGATACACAATCCCACTATTATCCCCAATTCCTTACTTGGCTTCAAACTCAACTTATCTCAGCCAAGAGTGCTCAGTAACTGAAGATCTCTGTCTCCAAAAATCATCCCACCTAGAGCTAAATTTTACGTAAAAATAACCGGCAGCAAAGGGAAGTGACCAATTTTAATATTTTAAGTTAAAATCTCCACCATTTGAAATAATTGCAATTTAAAATAATTTAGCAACAGAAACAAAGAAGCAAACTAATAATAGAAGACAATTCACTCTGTTGGCCTGCTAAATAATGCATAGTTTAACAAACTCATAGTTTTCCTGTGCTGGGCTGTTTAAATTAAGGTAATTGAGTAAATAAGCGTTATGAGTAGATTTCATGTCCCCTGTAGAATTATACTTTAACAGAAAGAATTATTGAAAATAGTTAAAATATGCTCCTACTATTTATCAGGATAAAAGTTGACTGTATTAATTGTGAGATATATGTTACTGAACTTTTAAGTTAAGTGCTAGGCATGAGTTGGATCAACGCCCAAAGAAGCACCCAAGGAAACACTTGATAATGGCATTAAGAGATTGAATATTTGTATACTGCATAGGGGTCTTGTAAAAGTCATTGAACTGCATAGAAAATAAGCTAAAATTTTATTTTTTTATGTTCCAAGTTTTACTTTCTTTTGAATTCCACATATTTTCCTGATGGGTAGAAATACTCTCTAGGTGATTAAAGCCCTTTCGAATAATTTTTATTTTCCTTTTTGCCACCTAAAGTTTGATGATGTCAGCCTGCTAATTCTGCCTGACACTCACATGGCCTCCATTTGTACCTGTGTTCTTCTAGAATGGCAGAGATGCAGGGACTGATGGAAAGATTGGAGCGGGCAGTCAGCCGACTGGAGTTGCTGTCTGCGAAGTCACACCAGCCTTCTGGGAACTGTGGGGAAATGAATGGTGTCAACGGAGGTAGGGCCACAAACAGTTGTCGTTACTGGTCTCTACATGGTTCACTTCCTTTTGTCCCTTTCATTTATTTCTCAAGAAATATTTCTATCGACTTTCTTCGACTGCCCTACTCTTTCTTTTGTATGTGACCATGACATTAACCAGATGCAAGCAATCCCTGAAAAAGAGAAGGAGGAAAAAAGTTTCAACCCACAGTCCACAAAAATCAGTATCTCTGCCTGTTAAAAGCATAATCCATGTGCCAAATATCATTATTCTTTCATTTTAGTGTTTATACTGCTGTTCCACACTCAACGACTAAATATATTATCTAAGTAATTATCAAAAAAGAAACTAATGTTCTCAGTTAGAATGTAAATTGGAAGGAATTATCATTCTGTAGATTTTAATTTTAAAGAGAACAAGACATTAAATTTAAGAACTGCAGTTTTAAAGGAAGCCAGCCTGATGTGAACCCAGATATCACTTTAATGTTACATGATCACATCACGTTGTTTTACCTTTGTCTGTTCCTAACCAATATGCTTTTAAAATTATATGTGCATACCACACTTTAAAAAAAAAAGATTTAAAAAATTATAACATAAAAAGTTAACTATTTCTTTAAAACGATACCATGTATGGCAGACTTTCTAAATTATCTACAGTAATTTTTCCAATTCTTGTCTAAGGTTGCAGATTTAGCAAATGAAAATACAGGACATCCAGTTAAATTTGAATTTCAGATAAACTACTTTTTTTGGTATAAGTGTGTTCCAAGTACTGATGGGGTATATTGCATGGTACACATTTATTCTAAAAATTTTTTCATTGTTTATTTGAAATTCAAATTTAACTGGGCTATCTGTATTTAATCTAGCAACTCTATTCTTGTCTCACATTCGTTTCCTCCTTATCTGACCCATTTTGAATCCTGTCACACTTTTAGGGGCTGAGAAAAGCCTTAGGAAAGAGGGGCCTTCAAACAAAGCTTTGACCAGGCGAGATCTACATTGGAGCTTCTAGAATTTCAGGCATATTTGGAGCTGTGCCTTGTATTACATGCCCTGGGACAGAAATTACTGTGTGAGCACAAATGCACAGGCTGGTTTTTTTTTCCCCCTGAACATAATGAAAATTAAAATGCTTTGAATGAATTGAAAGGGGATGTTATTTAAAGGAAGGCTGCCAAGGGCCTGTAAGTTTTTTCCGCATCAACTGAGACACATCTATGATTTCATTTTAAGCCTCTTTTTGTTAACTATATGGTTGGTCTATGAGATTCAGTAAACCTTATTTGTAAGAAAATATTTTTATGTTCTCTTCAGTAACTTTGTTTCCTTATGACTTTGGCATCCAGTGAACAAAACACATTTCTCTAAGATTGCCAACCACAAATATAAAACCCACGAATACATAAAATAAAATTTAAATCCAATTCCCAAGAGATTGTGTAATGTTGTTGTGTAAGGCGGGGGAAGACCTCCATACTTTGAATTTCATTTAAAGAGCTACGAGACTGCATTTTTAATTTTCTTTAATAAAAAAAAATCTAGGAAAATGAATAAGCCAAGCAAAATCAGAAGCCATAGTTAAATTACTTAAATATTTAAGCAAATATTTTCTAAAATAGCAAATCATTCCAAATCAGTTATTAAACTGAGGTTTTAAAACAACTTAGCTAGAAATTGATAATCCTACTTAAAATTAAGTAGAGTAATTAGTAAGTAGGATAATTAGTAAAATGTCTGAATCATAGCCGTCCTTAAAACATTTGACTAATCCTAAATAACGTTGTTTCCATTTCTTCTTAATTAGTAAGCTTTGGTAATTTTCTAAATTCTATTTTTAATAAAACCTTAGAGACAACTTCTCACTTTAAATATAAACATCATCATTACAATAATGCTATAACTAAAGTTAAGTTTTTTTTCTTTTCATTTAAAAAGAAACTTAGAAGGAACTCAATCCATTACAAATCCATAATATTCACAGATCAAAGAACCACCTTCTAATGATACTTGCGTTATGATGTTTCAATGTGTTTTGTTTTCTTCCTGACAATCAGGTAAGTTTGACTCAGCAATGGAAGAAATATTTTTGCATGCCTTCCAAGTGACAGGTACTATGTTAAGTGCAAGGAAATCTAAGATGAATTATACATAGTCCTAATCCTCCAGAATTTTTGGTCTCCATGCATTGCTATACAGGGCCGAAAATGCCTTGACTGAGGGATGCTCAAAGGATGCAAGCTGGGGTGAAAGACAGGTTATTAAAGGCTACCTGGAGGAGGTGTGAGCAGAGCCGAGAGATGAAAGGAAATTGTAAAATATTTCCTTTTATCATTATACCTTCTTCTATGTAGAGGCTTGTCACATTTCTAAAATTTTCCACCACTTTAAATACCCAGCAGAAACCTCTCAGGCCTTTTCCACAACAACAAACAGGTTTATCTGTTTCCAGATGGATCCATAAGACTCTTTGGGTTTGTACCCCTTTTACGTTCTGGAAGTTGGTACATACTGTATTTTGAACTTTAAGATAACTCAGCTTCAGTTGCCTTATTAGAAGTTAGACTAGGTACAGAGAGCTGTAAACAGCTGTTTTCATCACTCTTTGGGCCTGTGGAAATGGGCACTTGGAAAAGAGGGACAAAGAAGGAAACTTAATCTTACAGATTTATGAGTTGGATATTTCTATCCTATATGAGAAAGGGAATCCTAGGTTTTGATTTGTATTTTAATAGCCTGTAGTGTTGAGTTTCTCAATAATATCTTTCTCAATATTAGGGACATAGGAAGTCCAGGGCTTCGACAAATTTTTTCTGTGAATTAAAAGGCAGGGAAAGAAATGCAGAGCACACCAGATTGAGCTGTTGTCTCTTCAGCTTTTACAGTTATTCAGCAGATCAAAACTCAATCTGTATCACCTCAGCAGTCATTTTCATGCCCACCATCACCACTTCTCCTATCCTGGAAGTGAAGAAGGAACAAAATAAATAACATCAGCTTTCTTTTCCTACTTGCCTAGAGTCTATTATTACCTTTTAATTGTCCTGGATAACATTTGTAACTGGGCCGGTCGGTAAAAGAGAAAGTACACTTGGCTTTGGATTAAAAAAGTTTGGTTCCATTTTTGGATCTGCTCCTTATTTGACATGTGGCTTTGGTCAAGTCACATGCTTTTTACTAAACTACCAGGAACTAACAACATATTCTTCTTCCAAAGGTGTGGCACCCTCGGTGGAAGCTTTTGATAAACTGATGAACGGTATGGTGGCTGAGTTTTTAAAGAAGAGTAGGATCCTTGCTGGTGACGTGGAGACTCATGTGAGTACTTTCCTCCCCTGTTCTACGTGGAAAGGATCACTACTATTAAAAAAAATAATAATAAGTTGATTTAAAAAAAAAAAACACAAAGTAACAAGGGTTAGTAAGGATATTGAGAGATTGGAACCCTTGTGCACTGCTAGGGGGAATGTAAAATGGTACAGCCAATATGGAAAAGAGTATGGTGCTTCCTCAAAAAATTCAAGATAGAATTATCATACAATCCAGCAGTTTCCCCTCTAGATATATACCCAAAATAATTGAAAGCAGGATCTCGAAGAGATATTCATACCCCCACTCTCATAGCTGCGCTACTCGCAATTGCCCAAAATACGGAAGCAACCCAAGTGCCTGTGGACGGATGGATGGATAAGCAAAATGTGGTCTATACATACAAGGGAATATTACTCAGCAGTAAACAGGAAGGAAATTCTGACACATGCTACAACATGGATAAACTTTGAGGATATTATGCTAAGTGAAATAAGCTGGTCATAACAGGAAATACCGTGTGATTTCATTTATGTGAGGTACCTAGAGTAGTCAAAATCATAGAAACAGAAAGTAGAATGGTGGTTAACAGGAGCGGGAGGAAAGAGAAATGGCAACTTATTTCGTGGATATAGAATTTTAGTTTTGCAATACAAAGTAAACTTGAAAAAAAAATTCTGGAGCTCTGTTTATACAACATGAATATACTGAACACTACTGAACTACTGTACACTTAAAAGTAGTTAAGATGATAAAGTTTTTGTTATGTGTATTTTGAAAAAAGTATAGCTTAAGAAAAACAAAGTTATAGAATTTGATAATCCATGAATCGGTAGAAACTTTTACTGATATCCAAGCCAGCTTCCCAGTTTTAGACACTTTTTTTACATTTTTTAATGTTTAGCATTCTCTCTATGGTTAGTCATTTTTTGAATGCATTTAGTGAAAATCTAAAATAATAGCCAAATTAAAAACCTAAAAGAAGTTTATCACCAGGTTCTTCTTGTTTATTTGTCTTTGTTTCTCACAGAGGATTGAATTCCAAATCCATCTGCTTATAGATTTCTCAGCAATGACACACTCCTGGCAAAAACATTTTCAGTACAAATTCAGAGAAATTCTGATTCTTGAATAAAGTTGTGGCTTGGGGTTAAAAAAGGTAAAAAAGGGATTCTCTTTTGCTCATTCCCAATTAGACATTATATGCAACATCCAACACTGGTCTTCCAGAGGATTTGGTGACTCAAGTTATACCAGAGGTTCCAGGATTGTAATTAAATAGGTGCTTATCTCATCACATTTGCAATGAATTTATTTGCCACATCTAAGAAAAATGAAGATTATTCTCATGACCTCTGTTTTTATTAAATATTCCTGTTGAAATACCCATTGGCAAAAGAGGGGAAGTTCTGACATATATGAGTTTAAGTAAAGTCTGTAATAAAACATGTTCACTTCAAATATATCACAAAGCTCTGTAATTACTCTGGTCTGTTCTTGAGCTTAATGTTTTTGTTTACAAGAGACCATATATGCAGTAAGATAGTGGCTGAGCTTCTTATATTCTAAGGCACAATAGCACCTGAAAGCTAACATACCAAATGGAATATTACCCCAATACACTAAAAGGGATTTCTGAGTGATTGACGAATATTTACTTTCTTGAACACAGTGACAATAATTATTGTGTCATTATTATTAGTATTAATTAATGTTGACATTGTGCTTCTGAGGTACACAGTATAACTCTTGTTAGTAATATCACAAAATTGTATATAGAAATTTTTTACTGGAGAATGAAGCCTATAAATAAGTATATTTAATTTTATTTTAAAAATGTAGATTTTGCATACTAAGTCTCTTCAAATTGCTTAATAAACAGTTCCTTTAAATTCTTTTTTAGGACAAAGTTGAGTTATAAATAAAGCGTAGCTTGATTTATATTAGGTTTTTTCTTCTCTCTACTCATTAACCTGAAAGCAGTGTGAATCAAATGAAATAATATTCTCAATAATGGATATATAATACTTTTTTAAAAAATGAAGGAAGGCAGGAAAGGAGAGAGAGAAGGAAAGAAAGGGGAGAGAGAGAAAGAAAGAGAGAAGAAAAAGAGAGAAAAACACATCATCTGAAAGTTTAGACTCTGATTCTACAACACAAAGAAAAAGTACAGACAGCTATCATCCATCTGCCTATTATTTTAACATATTGAACAAGTAGTTTATTTTTTCTCTCTTATAGAACCATGTGTCATTGACATTAAGCTTGCAGCTGCTGCCTCTCACATAAGCCAGTAGTGGGGGGGTTGAACTTTGTTCCAAGAACACACCTGTTGCCTAGAAAAAAACCCTCACATACCTGATTGTGTAGTATGGAAATCTGAGAATGACACAAATGTGCATCATGTTAAATCCTGTCCCTGTGTTTAAAAGCTATTTCACAGATACTAATAATGAATAAGGGCAGCCAAGCTATGATTTAAAGTCTGTCTTGATGTGTTGGCTGCTTGTTGGGCTTAATTTACTGAACATTCAATAGTCTATTGACAAAACAGACCACAAAAAAAGGGGGAACTAATAGCTACAATTAGGAAGCTCTGCTGTTTTTTACATAACAGGTTTAGCAAAGATTAGATCTTGTAAAGCCTTCTTATATGCAACATAAACCAAAGGGCTTATTTAAATTACTCTTAAACCTTGGAACACTGACACAGCTTGCACCCCTTTTAAGAGAGAATAAACAATGCATCATTTTATAATAGATGTTTAGAGTAAATACAGTCCTCAGTGTCACAGGAAAGGATCCTCTAGAAACTGGGCGTACGTAAAACCAAGCCATAATTTGTCAGACATAATTTCTCCTTAAATGAACAAATGTGATTTTTTTTTACAAAGCTGTCCTGTGGTTTTTCATGGTATACGGATCTACTAAATCTCAAGTCTATTTCTAAATGATTTGACAATCATGAAACAGCTGCAAATCATATAGCTCTTCCTAACTCAAACCCTTTTATCGAGTTTACATTTGAAATGTTTCTAGATGTCTGGAACATTTATTTCTTATTCTTGATTAAAATGGATAAAAAAGAAACACTTTCATATTGTTTAATAAGAATGACAGAACCATGATTTGAACAAAAGGGCAATAAATTCAACCGAGAAGTATAACACACTTAAGCATGGTATGATTAAACCACACTGCACTATTGCATTCCCTGACTTTATAAAGGATGGACCTTTTAAGATAATTATTGTAGCGTCACTTTTGATGGGTCACCATCACTATTCTAGAGTTCCTAGTCCTTGTCATTTATTTAAACCATCTACAAAATGTTTTATTCATTTTATACCATGCTGGCTTGGTAGAGTTCAAAGAATGGCAAAATAAGGAGTATTTTCCTCTGATTAGCATTGGCAGTTTGTATTTGGATTTTAGAGCTGGCTCTGCTTTTTACAGCATGACCTTGAGTTAGTCCCTTAACCTGCTCAGTAATAAGGCTGGATGACCTCACTTCCCAGGCCCTTCTGGCTCTCACAACCTGTTTGAGTGACTCACCCGCTGTCTCAGCATTAAAGCATGAGGGGGCGATTTGGTTTCCAGTTGAAAAGCTTGTGATAAGGCAGCATTATCGCCATTATAAAAAGCATCTTGGGCCACGCCAGGGAAAGTACCTCAATCATCTGAACATGTGAAGCAAGCAGAAGGCAACATGTCAGAAAAGGGATATACAGAACACTAAAGATAAAATTTCATCCTACTTTCCCATGATATATATGGAAATCAGACTCCGTCTAAAAAGACCTTGAGGTCTCCATGAGTCTGTCCTTCTTGGTCTTACACGTTGTCTCTTCTACCTTCATGTGGAACTTACCTCTGGGATAATTAATACAATCTCTGCAATAAATAATACAAAAATATGTGTTTATTTTACTAATTCTATTTGTATTCTTCCTTTGATCTTAGAAAAAGTGGCCATTTGCATTTTTGGTGCTTTATAATCTGGGACTACATAGAAACCCAGCTGCCCCTGCTAAGAAATATTATCAAAAGCACAAGTTTGCGATTGACTCAACAGAATAGCCCATTCTACACAGATCTCCTTCACTCTCTCACTCACCTTCAGACAAATCGGTCCTCCCATTAACTTCTGGTTTCCTGATAATTATCTTCATTTGAACATTTATTTTTATTATAACTAGACAAAGAATACCTTGGCAGTCTCAAACCCAAAGGATCTGTATGTTTTTCACATTCTCCAAATGGCAGAGATCCAAAAAAAAAATGACTGTGTAAAGAATTCTGCCTCTAGATTTCATACAGGCTTTGAATCTCCTTTCTTACTGTCTTAGCCAGCTACAATAGTCAGAATTATTAGAGAGAGAAATACCTTAGAAATTACACATTCCAATATACAGCCCCTTTTCTTTTACTTTCTTTGACTTCCTTCCTCCTTCTTTTCTTCCATCCATCCATCCATCTTTCTCTCCTTCTTTCTGCAGAGAAGAAACTGCAAACTAGAGAAGTTAGGTGATATGTTAAATGGAGCACCACATCTTGATGGCAGAGCCAGGAATCTCATCTCCAGAGTGTCAATCCATCGCATTGGGAGATGCCTGGTTGTGATCGGCTGGGCAGTTATGCCTCCCAACACCTTTGTCAGTAACTGGATCCCTAGTGAGAAGCAAGTGGCACTTACCTGCCCTCTGCACTCTCACTGTAACCGTTCTCCTTACCAAATGTCCACAATAGAAGGAAAGGTCATTATGACCGTTGGCTCAGGGACAAAAGCTGAGAGGGTGGAGCATTTCCGTAACTCGTGCCTTTCGTGTGTCTCCTCAGAGGAGTGCTGAGGGTCAGGGAGCATGGTGACCTCCAAGACAAATGAACTCTGCCCCTCATGGGTCTTCGCTTCTGCCCCATCGCATTGGCCTTGTCTCAGCCTGATCATCACTCACTCCGTTGTTGTTACCAAATTTGCAGAAGGTCATAGATAGATTAGTCTCTGTTAT